CAACACTTGAACCCAAGTTTTTCCTGTAATGCGTTTTACAAGTTCTATACAGCATGAGATAAAATGCAGAAATTATGAGTGGGAGAAGCACGTAAGTGAGCTGGAAAACTATGTTATTTGTTTTTCTTCTGCACCATTCAGATGCCAACCTGTAACAGGCACACAGAGCAATGAAGAAACAGAAAAAGCTGTGGGCTGTAAGAGGTCCAGAATGGCTTCAGCAAGCACACTTACGTGGCTTTACGCACAATAGCACCATTGCAAGCTAACATATACAAAATGTACAAAAAGAGAACACTTCTCTGTTGCCCTCTATTGTGTGGACATCTGAGAGCTGTCCTAGATCTTTCTCTAAGCTTTGAAAATTCATTGCTATTCATGCAAAAATATAGGTCTTGCTTTAGCTGCACATACGTCTTTCCTGACTGCAGTGAGGTTGAAGAGGTATAAGATGCTCCATCTAGAACACTGTCATTGTGAAAATAAAAAAAAATCACTCACATTTTTAAAGACTGAATTTACTTAATAGCGTTTACTTAATAGACTGTCAGAGAGCTTTGAAGGGCGATGATCCATGAACTAAAACTTAATGTATTATATGATAATGAATCCAAAGACGGACTATTGAGCAGATAATTACACATTCATAATGGGCAGTAATGGGGATTATGGTCCATATTATGGTCTATTATGCCTATTCTGAAATTTATATAACAGATTTTTCAACAAAGACATATCACAAAATACAAGAGGGCCCAAGCTACATTCTGCTCCCACACAGGAGCAAGACAACGTAGGGGATGCACGCAATGCTATCAGTGCCCTTGCAGCAGTCCTTTTTCCAGCACCCACAATATACCTTTAAGAGGTCGTGAATGTGAGCAGTTACAGTCAAAAGGCAGCAGTAGTTCAGAGACCATTACTCCCAAACCTTCACACAAGTAACAAGACGGTGACACATCACACAACATGCCTTGCTCAAATATGACCCTACTTTGAGAAAACATCTTGGGAAACCAGATGCTGTGTCCTTGAGACTTCCTCACTTGGAAACACCACAAGTAAATTTGCAGAGTGTTTCAGGAGGTCACAACATTTAATAAAGTCAGCCTTGCCTTCCCCCCCTTAATATAGTAATAAAGCAATGCAACATTTCAAACACATGAAATATTACTCCACCCTCATCGGAGAATTGACCTCAGTATTTAGCTTCCACAATTCATTTAAGCCACATTCTATTTCACTCCAAAAGGGGAAAAGCTAGACAAGTGCAAGAAAATCTAGACATTTCCTATAAATATTATGTATCATTTCTTGAAACTGTCTTGCTTTATTTGTCTGGTTTGCTCCCTATGAATTCAAGAAAACAATAGGAAATTCTTAGAAAAGATCAAATATACAACAAACCGGATTTGGTTTGGGCTGTTTTTTTTTGTTGTTGTTTGTTTGTTTTGTTTTTTGAACTTTGGAAACCAGCCACAGGAAAAACAGAACAGAAAAATCTTATTTATGAAAAATACCCGTATGAAACAAGGTTAGCTTGTAGGACAAACAGGTAAATGATATAAGAGTCGCTGCACGTGTTTGACTCACACGATACATTCATTAGTGAGAAGGTAAAGGCAGTCTGATTTTAAAACCTGAATTATTTTGCATTTCTGTTGGTGAGGGGAAGATCAACAGCAGCTTTCTACCATCTTAGAATTAATCACACTGCTATATAAATCCTCTATATTTTAAGAACTCTGTAAGTGTGATTTCAGAAAAGTTAAATAATGTATGAAATTGAAAAATGTCATTCTTTTAATATCTTTCTCCTTGTAAAAAAAAAAATGCAATTACAACTATAAAAAACGATTGTAACCTTCTTTTAAAGCATTATAGAACTTGTCATTGTTTAGTTAACCAATTCAGATTCAGCAAACGTGACCTACGATATCCTGAGGGAAAGACCTATTGTAGCAGTAAGCAATACATCTCTACACACTTGTAATTCAAAGGCACTGAGGCAAAAACTGTCAAAACATTACTAAAGTCGACAAGGATGTATGGTTCATTAGTCTAGGAACTGATGTGTTATGGACCTGTTTGTGATCAGCCTGGTAATTTAAATCAAGTTGCAAGTTTATGTAAAACTACTAGGACTCTATTATTAAATTTCAGATCATGCCTTCAAACATAGGCACCTGTAATTGTAGACATTTATCACAAGACCCTAACTAGTCCCCTATCATGTCAACTTAATCAATAATCAATTCATAAAATATCATTACTTTAATTGAAAATCTCTAGCTGTTTCCCTCATATTGACTTTGAGGGAAGAACTGCAATGTAACAGCAGTAAGCCAGTCTTTGTTCGTTAACATGGAATTAAACCGCAAATGATTCGATATTTAGAAGCAGTGACTTGTTGTAGAAAAGGGCCATCTGCAGCTGCAGATACAGTGGACTCACACCACACCACTGGCAGTCCATCCAGGCACAATTGACACAGGCCACCTTCTCATTACATCTCTTCATTCCCCCCGGCTTTGCACCCCTCGGAGGGACATTTCAAACACGCACTCACTGTCCACATACTCCTACTGCTCTACTGCCCACTCCATTGAAACAGGGCAAAGACTGGTTTTGTGCTTAAGGAGAGGAGGCATTACAGAGCTGGACACGTGGTCACCGCCTCAGTATTTCATTCACTGCAACAGGCCACCGCAAAATGGGTCAAGATCAATTCCAAAAAAGAAAGCAGGGGGGATGACATGCTGCAGAACTGTAAGCAAGCAACAGTACTAAACATGAACAGATACACTGGATAACCAGGACAAAATAGCAGTTGTACAGTTAGTTGCTTAATTATCATGTGATATTTAGTTTTTCTGCATTTCAAGTAGCATATTATTAATACTGCCTCCTGCACTTCAAATTTCAATAATTTCAAAGTCTGGTGTATCAAGTTAGCACACACTAGTGAAACAAGCCACTGCTTACATTCTGCAGCCCACAGAAGACAAAACAGAAGCACTAAGCACTGAATCCTTAAAGTTCATGACTTCCTGATTATGAGGATTATAATACACTAGAACTCATCTTATTAATTATTAATTTATTAATCTAAAGTTTCTGCCTTTATATATCTTTTTATTCGTTTATGAAAATTACTGCAAGATGGGAATGAAGATTAACTTGAAAACACATGTTATCGGTGTACAAGATATCCCAAATTCTCTGAGGCTTATTATACTCCATGTAACATCAAAATACCATTAGATAAAGAAAATAAATCCACAAAATAACACAAGGAAGATCAAAAGCACCTACTTACTCAATAGCAAAATATTACACTTATGTCTTAGTCATAACATGAGAAGTTCAGGGACCAACGCTGCTTTTCCAGCTTCAAGATCCATCAGCCAAGGCTCAGATGCTTGCTGCTATCTAAAAGGTTATCGAGTTACCCTAAAGATGCCCTGGGAGAAAATGACACACTGCCTGGAACATCGCATTCTGCTGAGGAATGAGACCCTCTCCTAACTGCACCACTTCACAGTACTACTGCACCAACTGCAAGAAGGGGGGTTTCCCTGCAGGCCATGATCAGAAATCATTGATGCAGAAGACTCTGGAGAAGATGAGAAAGTAAAACACCTGCTCTCTCCAAAGGGCTTCCACCTATTAACAGCCCTTACAGATCTCTTTCTACCAAATGAAGTTATTATACACAAACACCAATAGCACAAGTTTTTTTCCTTCAGAGATGCTCCTTTGAATGCCAGTTACTGTTGTAAACAGAGACGTGCATGCACGGAGCAGGAGACTAACAAGGATTTGTTTTGAGAGGTATCATCATTTCAGAAGGCAATCAAAACAAACTTGTTTTCTTTAAAGCTGTTCTTTAGTCTAGCCCGTGTGTCCATATTGCTCTTTGGTGTCAATCCCTAGAAGAAGTGTATAAGTAAACACACAAAATAATAATAAAAGTTCATAGCAGGCCTAACCCCGTTCCATAACACACTGACAAGGCTACTGTGGATACAAGCTCAAACAAAATGTGCACCTGTACTGATGAAGCACAGCAGTAGAGGGAAGATATTCAATGACACAGCTCCAGAAATATGGCTAGAAGTTTGTCACTTGGAAATTCATGAGAAAATTTCTTGTAACCTGTAGGTACTAGTTTTTATATCAAATTTTGATTTGAATTCAGGATTAAAATGAAATCAGCTTTCAAAGCAAAACAGCTTAGCCTTCTTCTCTCTCAAAACCAGAAGACACAATGAAGGGAAGCTTGTCTTAGTTTCCCCAGAACTGTGTGATATCCTGCATACACTCTTGATTTTTTCAAACAAGAGTCAGTGTCCCAGTTACAGTAATGCAGTGTACTTGTTGAATTTTACTTGATAATTGGTTGTGAAGTAAAAATTTCACATGTAACATACGATCTAAATTTTCACATGAATACTTGTAGGCAAAGACTGAAGGAGTTACTATATTATTACGCATGTCACATTGTAAGGTATCTTAATAATTAAACAACATCACTTTCCTGATGGAGAAAAGTCCTGGCTGAAATTTAAATGTAAGTACTCCAAACAGAAATATGCATGAGTAAACATTTGCTGCAATTAACTGAAGACCACAAAATCACCAGTAAAGATTGTAATGTACTTTTCTTCTGCAGCTTAGATAAAATCTGCAAGTTTTCTCATTTACTAATATCAAAATAGAACATAGGAGAAGTGAAATCTTAAGTAATACATAACTTTGGTTTAAAACTATAAGTTTCCACTTTCCACTTCTTTCCCCCTCTACCTTCATACACCAACAGATTTAAAAGACAGAGATAAATATTTTCACAAAATCTGATTTTAAGCTAGATAATATCTTTTTGGTCAGAACCTCTTTCAGTGTTCTTATTACTGCCTGCTAATTATTTGCATTGACTTACTTTCTTTTTTACAAGAACCTCAGGATAGTCTATACATATGCCAATTAAAATTGCTTACCTGCCTGCTGTATGGAATCGTAAAAAGGCTTACAGGAGTCTTATTTTTCCTCACCAGCAAGCAGATTCATGCTAGAAATAAACAACACATCCAAATTAGTATAATTTACTGACTCAGTGAAGTCATCAAAATTTTCATTCAAAAAATGTATGGAAAAATTGCCCTTAGTCATACCAGGAAGACAGGTACAGGGAGGAAGAAAAAAAAAAAAAAAAAAACGAAACCGTTTGTGCCCCACTACACCAGCTGGAATGCTGACATTGAGAGAGACCTTACTTAAGTCTCTCCTATGCCCAATTTATCTCAGATGCCATTTTCCTCCTTTCTAATCCTCATGCTGCCTAGGGTGTTTTATAGCTTAAATAATCGTCAGACGAGGGTGTTTGTGGGAAACTGAATGATAACGTCTAGCCTTCTGAGCGAATGCCACAATCAAACTATTTATAGGAAGGGGTCCTTGACGAGCCTCACTTACTCTTTCTGTGCTTACATAGGATCCAGCCCACGGTGAGCAGCAGCAGGACCATGCTCAGCCTGGCAGTTCTGAGATGCCCTGTTCTTACCCATGCAGAAACCACTCAGAGTACAGGAAAGCAAAATTTCAGACCTCAAACGAACATTAGTGTTGGAAACCGAGGAATATCCTAGTCTGGGGATAAGCCCAGCTGAGGAAGAAGGAATCTAGTTTGTGATTTAGATACTTAAAGAAACTGACAGGCACCTGAGTCCCTTTAGGAACGAAGGTTTATACCTTTACCATAAGGATTGACTTATGCTATTTCCACTTGACGGATATTGCTAATACAGCATAGTAGCAGTGAGCAGTCACACAGTGAAATAGCACTTGAACTGGACAAAAGGAGCTGTGCATTTTAAGTCTCTTTTCAAGGACATACTTTGCATCAGAGATTTTTATTTACAGTGCTCTGAGACATACAAGAAAATGATGCTTGTTGCAGGCTGCGGACTGGTGTCGCCAGGCCTCCCCAGAGCCCCAGCAAATAGCCAGCCAGTGGGATTACCACAGGAAGAAAACACGAGAGCTTCAAGTGTTCACACCAAGCTGTTGTGTGCAGCTCCTGCTTGTTTCTACGGAGAAAAGGTCGGGGCACCACTTCTCACCTGCCTCGTGCCACACTCCCGATTGCAGGAGTGAACTCCAGCAGCGCAGGACAGCGCGACCAGCAGCAGCCCTCACCCTGCGGCTGGGGGAAGCAGCCTGCAGCCGCTGCGCCCTGCCTTGTCCTGGGTGCGCCGGTGCCCACTTCCAGATCAGGCCCTAAGCAGCTTCATACTCCTACTAACCCCACACAACACTCAGCCATTAGGCTCAAAGCTTCATTGTAGGAAAAGATGAAAGCACAGCATGGAGGTGAAGCTGAGAAAGGACTACAGTATAATTGGAAGGCCTCAAAGGCTTCAGTCCAGTTTAGTTGTCACAAAACAAACAAAAGATAAAGAATGCTACTACACAAATACCGACATGCATTGCCCTGTGTACTACAGGCACACTTCCTAGCACCTCGCCCTCCCCTGGTGTCACGCTTGCCCTTCTGCTGCCCCTCAGCCTCAGCGTGCCAATGGCCGCAGTCACACACGGCCAGTGCCACCTGCATCCCAGCTCCACCGCCGGGAGAACCGTGATCTCCCTAGGAAGTACTTAAGGACATTTACATGCTTTCTAACATTGTTTTAAACCTTGCTGTTTCTGTAGTGCTTCAAAATTATTGTATGCGGTGCATTTTGCATATGAGGTACTTGCTCTGTGCCAGCTTTTCTGCCCCTAGCACTGGTTTTGCCCAGCTCTCAAGTCTGTGTTTCTTTAACTGGCCATCAGCGAGTTGTTCATAGCCGGGGGTCTCCGGGGCCCACCTGCGTCCCACCTCTCACCATCCTATACCTGCACTCCTCTATGGGACATCCTGTGTCCCTGCCTCTGAGGCCTCTGACTCTTCTGTATGCTAATGCCATAACATTAGACTCGTGAATACCTCATTCCATACATAATTACTACTCATCACTACTATCTCTGTAAAAACACTGTTGCTGTATGATACAGACATAAGCAAAATAAAAATTAGGCCATTAGAAAAATTGTTGTTACAGCAAATCCAAGCATAAAAAGAAGGCTCAAAACCAGTCATGGCAAACTGAACCAAAGCACAACAAGCCCTGCACAGAGGCCTTGCAAACACATTACAAAGTCGTTGGCCTTGCTCACTGCATGTCAGAAAGGGCTGCAGAGCCCCATGCTCCCTGCCTTCCTACACCACCCCTCTGAGCAGCCCTGCCTGCTGAATTCAGTTCCAAATTCTCAGTGCAGCTCATTGCCCCAAAACGACTCAAGCAGGATCAGTGTGGGCATGCTCTATTTTAGTGGTGAGGGGCAAGCACTTACAAGCCATTAGCTCCAGCAATTAACAGAGTCTCACCCATGCAATACAGCCCTGGGCTGGGGCACCCACAGAGCGAAGGGCAGAAGCTGACGGCTGCCACAGCTGGGTGCCAGAAAAAAAAAAAAAAGTCAGGGCTACAGGCTTGTAGCACAACTGGTGAGGACGCAGAGAAATGGAGCCAGGCGACAGCTTGCAGTGAGCACTGAGTTACTAGGTTTCTGCAGGGGCTGCAATCAACCTCTAATTCAAGAAGTAATGCAATACACCAAAGGACGAAGACAGCTTGAAATACAAATGGAGTTACAACAAGAACACAAGACTTATTTTTTATTTGGTCAGGGCTTTCTGAAGGGGAAGAGGAGGGAGATGGAAGAGCTTAAGAATCCAATTTGGATGTAACCCTGTAGTCCGATAAATGCAGCTCTGCCATAGCTATAGACGGGGCCACAGGTGTTGTATTACCCAGCTGCAGGCCTTGGGCTTGTCAGGCTCTGCCTGGACTTAAACGTGGTGGCAGCTCAATTCTAGCTGCACAGCTTTAACAGCCCTACCTAATGACCAGATCACTTCCCTGAAATATCTTAGCATTCCACAACTGCATGACACCTGATGTTAAAACAGTTTTGATGCATTTCCGTAAGTAACAAATGATGATAGCTAGTAGCTATCTTATGCAGGATGAACGGCTGTGGCCAGAGAACAGGTAAATACAAACATGACAAAAGCCTTGAAAATCTGAGCACAGGACAATTCCAGAGGCCTTAGGTGCACAAATAACTTGCCCACGGGCAGCTCATTTGAGCTACTGCTCAAATAAATGCAACCACAAGAGCTCATTTAGCTTAAGGAGGAATAAATACCCAACCTATGTAAAACACTACGTATATAGTAAACTCAGATGTAGCACGGAATTGCAGACCAACAAGGAGGAAGAAAATAATATCATGCTCCTCCTAGCAGAAGATCCAAGATGCAGATGATTCCCTGCTGCCCACCCCAGTTTTCCATTGCACGCTCTGCTTCCGAATCACCTCGGTGCTCCCATACCTCAGATGCACCCTAATCATGACACCTGCATGCACTGCTGCCACTGCTCCAGAGGTAATTTTCATTAATTCCTTCTTTATTATTTTATTCCTTATTAAAGAATTTATAAGTTCAAAGCAGAACAGGAGAATTTGGGCTTAGCAAGTGACTTTGCTCTAATGAACCCCTCTCATCTTATAGCTTCTGCCTCCCCCTGTTCCCAGGCTGCAGCCAGCATGCTCGGAAAGCTGCAGTGGCCAGGAGGGAGCCCCACACACAACTACTTGCATGGCCCCACCACGGCCACACCAGTGGGTGCCCTGACTGCTCGCACACTGTACAGTAACTCTAGAGAATGCATTTATGCTCTCACAAACTATCTTTACACAAAGCTGCTCAATATTAGTCTTGATTTCAATGGAGTGCTTATTTTCTTCAAGGATATACCCACTACACAACGTACATACTAAATATTTGTGCAACAGTCCAAGAGGATGAACCTGTGTTTAGAAATGAAATTATTGTGTGCTAGACACTTAAAGTCCTCAAATTATTCTTCAGACTAAATCTTACGGGAAATATATATAGATGAGACCTTCACTTTTTTTTTTCTGAGCTATTTAAGTTTCAATTTACAAATGAAGAAAAAAAAACACTCTTAATTACTCATTGTTGAATGCTTTAGAATATGATTTATATTATATAGGGAGGAAAAAAAAATGTCCTGCTCAGTGGGTTCACTTGTGAAAGATGTCTTGGTCAATAATAACTACAAATGACAGTGTTGCGGGGGCAGAACTACCCTACAACCATTATGTTTAATTAGCTAGTTTGTTGAAATTACTATTTGATACCTTAGAGTTTTTGTCATGACAGCAATATTTTTGAAAACCAGTTGTGTACATGCAGTTTGCTACACTTCATGGTGTTTCACATGGATTTATTCATTTAATCTGCTTTGTCAGGAAAAAAATAAATAAAGGAATGTGTTTGTAACTAACATAGGCAGTCTTATGGGGTGTTAGAGTTTCAAATGTTTCCAATGTAATTTCCAAACTTTCTTGCTTTTTACTGAGAACAAGTGTTTAATGCTTACGACTGCACTGTAGTATTTGCAAGGGTAATGAGCTATTCAGTGTCTACTCTGACGGAGCTATTTGTACCTAGTTAATGCCTTTGAATGTAATTGACAAATTAATATCTTTTTCCCATTAGCTGTATTAAATAAGGGAACTGCTGTTCCAGAATTGTAACCTTTTTATTTATTATAGCCAACTTCTCAAACTTATTGGATGAAAACTTAGCCCAACTAATACATCAAAATGAGAGAAAGAAACCTTCTTTCTGCTCTATTCGTGATCTTAAATTTCTTCACATTTCCTAAGCTAGACAGTGACAATTAATTTTATTAATTCCACTGTTTATATTGTTCTCAGTATTGCTGTACTCAGTTTATCACTGGTAAAGTTTAATTTTAAAAAGTTTGTATCATTTAAAACAATACCAGTGTGAAACATTTCTGTTTATCTTGTAGATTCCAGTATTGATTTCCTTTATTAAGTTTGAAACACCTTTTTATGCATTAAAGCTTTTCCATGAAAAACTAATAAAAGATTTTAAACTGCTCAACATCACTCTGGCACCCTCTG